CGCAAAACTCGCGGCACGTAACTAGTTTGGCGGCAGCTAAATGCCCCGCAGAGCCGCCGCCGCGCCCTGGGTGTGCGCTCGCCTGGCGGCCAGCGCCTCGGAGATGGAGCGGGGGCACCGTGCGGCAGGAGCACAGCCCTCGGTGCGGTGGCACCTTCTCACCGTCGAGGCGCTTCCCGACAGCGTACAAGGGGCAGCCCTCTTATCTCTGGTCAAGAGCAGATGAGCACTTGAAATTTTTATTACTGTGCTAAGCCCATTATATAAGTTAATCAAAATTCGCTAAAGGAGATGCTGATGATTTTTGACACTTGTGCAAAGGCTTCTATTTTTCAGTCAAACAGGCAATACAACTTACACTCATTAGCAGCTAGTATTGGTTTCATCAAAATTGTGTAGCATACACTCTGCATAACCAGACTCTTGTGCAGGAAAAAAAGTGATCTGCAACCAGAAATTAATTTCTAGTTAGCAGAAGTTAAAGCACTTTTTTTTTTTCCTTTCCTGGCATCAGCCAACTCCTAAACTTAGTGAAAGAAGTGATGAAACTTAGTGATGTTCAGGTGACATCCTGTAACATATTCTGCCCTCCCACTCTCCATACATTCAAACACTTAAGAGTGATAGCAGTTATTTACAGGCACACCAGCCCTGTATTCTTGTGAGCAAGTCAACGGGGATATTGATGGCTAAGTCAGTCAGTTGGATCCCAGTATGTGCAAACAGTAAACTTGCAGGCTTCAGATGCACCCATTTCTATATTTTTGCAACCCCAGTACAATTAATGAGATGTGCAAAAAGCAACAGCAGGATTCTATCCAGAGTGTGCTACAGTTCACTGTAAATTTCATTCCTGTCCATAAGCAGCAGTACTTGTTTCAGTTGGGTTGTGTTGCAAAGCAGGGAACAGGCTAGTAAATGGGCTCAGTAAAATCACAAGCCCCCAAAAGGGATGAGGGTGAAGAGGGATTTTTGTCTAGGAGAGGGTCTGTTTTAGTTTGCGTGAACCTTCACCAGTAACAGGATTAGATTTTTGTCTGAATAGGAGGATTGAGTGTGGCCTGAAGCAGGTAATTACCATGGTGATGTAGAAAGGCTGTTTTGGCTCTATTTTGGTGTCAGACAAATGTGTCACACTCTTGACTATGACAGTCTGTTTTGCTTGTTGCCACCATAATCTTTTAAATTACAAAGTGTTTCAGAAATGCAATAAAGTGCCTACAAATTAAGCTTTCAGTCACATATTAAGAATTTTAACTGTGCCTTTCCAGCAGAAATGTGATATTTCTGTATACGTCTCTAGAAATTGAACTACATAGCAGAGAAAAATCAGTTACAGCTATGGAGTGCTTCCTAGTTCATGTTGCTAAAAGGAAAAAGCAAAGTGGTCTTGTACAGTTAAGAGAAGTCACACATATTAAATTTGAATATAGGTGGTTTCATTCTCCCCTTTTGCCGAGGTAGTGTGTGGCAGCAGAGTTCTGACACTAGAGGAGAGCAGAAGTGCACCCATTTCCAAGGGTGTGAGGTGTCCTGCCTTCCTGCTTGGAAACAGCACCGTGGGTTGGACAGAGTGTGTGAACTGCAACAAGTTCCTGGTTTAAAAGGCAGTAAATGGCAGCCTGGGAGGCCAGTATCCACACAGCACTGCAGAAGTGGGGAGAGCTCTGCCTCTCAGTTTAAAATGTCACAACTCCAAAACCTGCTTTTTGCAGTCCGCTTATAACAAGATGCAGGATTTGTACTCCTCTTACCTGCTGAATGAATAATATTATCATTAACTGTATTAAATATCTGAAAATGTGTCACGTTTGTTTTTCCTATTTGTAGCACTATAAAAACACAGGCAGATGCAGAATATAAACATGGTGATTTATTTACACCTTTTAGAATAATTATATTGAAACATATGGACTATGTTTGCAGACATGGATACATGTGTCAGAGTTAATTCCCATTAAAATTTTTATTTCAGATAATGGGCACTCACTGTATTTTCCTACACGCTGAAGTTTTAAGCACTGTGGTAATCCATCCTCTGTATTTGTTACAGGGATACGTTCAGCTAGTCCTTTTCTCTGGCACTGCCTGTGGGTCCTTACTACAGCTCCGGTAATTAATGTGGCAACTTAACGTTACGTAAACTACAAACTCCCCTTACACTCTCCTAGTTAAACTCTTGTTTATGCAGAAGTCTATTACTAGTTGAAAATGTTTTAAGCAGTCACAAATTACTCACATTTGCTTACTGCTTCTCCTTTTCTTCTGTGCCTTCCTGAGATCCAGAAGCTACTAGTATTACCAGGAGTGTTCATACACATAGTCTGGTGACTATTACTGCCCAAATTTTAGGGCATTTAATCAATTGTTTCTGAATGGTTGGCACATATCTGTGTTCTCTACACTTCAAGTCTCCATTTCTGCCTTGGTGAGTTCATAAAAGGTCACGTTCTTTCTTGACGTGGGTAGAGAACAAGAATATTTATGCATTATTTTAATCAAATATTGTCTGATATATTACATGGTTAATCTTGTTCAGTTCTGGGTTTTTTTAGCTGAATTTAATTCTTCTAAAAGACACCTCAATATGAGGAGAAATAGACTAAAATTTCATTTGGATGTGTTAAACTTAAAGCTGAGTAGGGGAAACGGGTTATCAAGATTCATTGGTATATGAATAAATCAGCTTGAGTAGTGTATTTGATATGCCAAAGAAGGTGGTCAAATGGCTTCGTCAGGGGAAGGAGAGTGGACAGAAAAGCAAAATAAAGCCCTCAGCTATTTCTGACAGCAGTACAACTCAGTAAACATCATCTCTTTCTGAAAAGAGCAACATAATCTCAGAACCCTTCCAGAGTTGCAGACTTGGTAAAATCTGCAGTTTAGGGCTGAGAGAACAGGGCTGGGCCAGGATGTAGCCTGGTCACTACAGGTCCGTGGCAGTCTACTTGCAGGCTCCATTCCATGCTTAGCTAAATCTCGACCTTCTGGGTGATCTTGTTTCATTTTCCAAGCTTTGTTTAGCTTACTGCTGATGTTTATGCCTCATGCTTGCAGTTGTGCAACAATTCCATCAGAAGTGTGGTGACATGGATGTTGTTTTACTATGTGTTCCCCTCAAATCCTAAAGAGCAATTTTGTAGTATTCTTGGAGAGCAGTTCTCATATTTGGACAGCTCGTCCTAAGGGCTACTATTGTATTTTAAAAAAGTAGGCTTCTGCGTTGTTAGAATCAGGTTTGAAAACCTAGGTAAGATACAATTACAGTGTCACAAAGAGAAATTTTTAGACATCTTGTGAAATTCTGAGAAGAAAGTGGAACATGTTGATGAGAGTTGAACCTCAGCTACTTACCTGGAGTTAAAATTTTATGCAAAGGTAAAATCTTGGCATGTATACACAAGAGAAGTTCAGATACATTGGAGAGTGAGTAGGTGTCAACATAATTTGTTCTTGGAGCTTAGAGGTCTATAGACCTCATGCAGGAGGCCCAAACACCACAGCCTGAAGATCAGAAAGGCTCCAGTAGAGCTCTTACTTATATAACAGCTGCTATTGCACAGAAAGTTACTAATCACAGTATCTTTTTTTTTGTCTCCTCCCTCTGGGTTTACAAATCCTGCAGTGAAAAGCAAGCCACTAAGCTTTTGCTAACCACAATATTTCTTTTAGTTCCTGTTCCATCAACAAATTTGTCACTTAAGATCACTTTCACCGTAGACAGTCACTGTACTCAGAGGACTCATATCATGTCCTGTACCATCTTCTAAAACTTACCCTTTGGAAAAAAAAAATAAATGAACAGATGTACCCTAGAAGAACCTGTGTCATTTTTGAACATTTTAAGGAATTTAACAAATCGGGCAAACAGGGTGAGTTATCATACTTGTACTTAAATTTTCTTGCCTCAGCTGTAGCAAACAACTGAAAAGGGGTTATCTTGACTCTAAGCCCTAACAGCTGGGATTGTTTAAGACAAGGCACATATGAAATAGAATGGCTGGTCTAATCATTTATGACCTTATCTTCAGATAAATGATGGATTATACTAAAATTACTTTGAGCTTTCAAGTGAATTGCAAGTAAGGGTAGGAAAATATCGGGCTCTAAATGGCATGCTGTTAGCATTCTCTGTTGCACCATTATATGAAAGAACTACAGATTTGGGCTGTCGGGTGTCTTTTACAATTTTCATTCCATTTGGTTTTTGTTTGATAGCAAAACTGTCCAGGTAACCGCTACAGAACAACGCTAGCTAGAATGCTTGGTTACTATTTGTGGTGTTTATCTCCTTTTATTGTAGTTGAGTAGCATTTCTCTTACAGGCACAGAAAATGGGTAATAACTGAAGATGAACTCACAGCAGGGAAGTGAGATCAGATTGGCAGTGCATCAGTGAGTGCCATGATTGAAGACAATACAAAAAGCAGGCTACAGCAAAAGGTACCTGGCAATATCTGAATTTGGGCAAGGTCAATATTTAGACAGTATTTCACCATTTGAGGTGAAAGCTATAATTAGAGTTACGGACAGAACAAAGAATGATTTAACCAAACCCCTAATTTCAGCTAATTCACCTATTCCTTTCTTTACTGCTGGGTCATACAAGTTTGTCAGTTACTGATAGATTCTTGGCTAGTGGAATCTAATACTCTGTAGATGAAGCATAGGAACAGAAATAGAAAATAAGACAGCATTCCTGAGTTCACTTGGTTTTCTGAGGGATATAATGAATGACAGTATTGTGCCTTAGCATTTTTAGCTCAGAGAGACCCATGCAAATAGTAAAACATTCCAGAAATCCACTGAGCAGCTGTATTTTCTTCTGGGGGGCTTACGCAAGAGAGAAAAATACACTAGTTGACTTCAGTAAAAAAATGTTCTGTTGGCAGCTATACTGCGTTTAACTCTGCTTTTGCATCAGCACAGCCAGGCCAGATCCTTTGCTTGAAGAAGGCATCACATAATGTATGAAGATGCAGCCTGAATTTGTTTATTGAGGAATTACACGTCCCTCTCCCAAACCAGTTTTATAGGCTGTATGTTACCCTTTCATCTTTTCCTTTATAAAATACTAGTTTTCAGCTTTTTTTTCTTCCCCTCATTCTTGTTACCCAAGCCTAAAAGTTCATGCAATTTTCCTTCTCCCACCTCCTACAAGGTATATCAAACCCAAGAGTTAGTCTGCTACCACTCAGGTTGCTCAGGATTTCCTCCTTCCTCAGGTTCTTTACTTAATGTACAACAATGAGAAATGGAAAGCATGGGACAGGAACCAACATATGTTTTCAAAGTGAGACTCTAGCTCTGCTGATAGATTTCTGTCTTTGTTTTTCTCTTGGCTTTGTTATTAGCAGCTTACCATAAGATAAGTCCAGTTTTTCTCAAATCAGTCTTTATTTCAAGTAAAAGTTCTTTCTTTACCTATGGGCTTCCTAAAAAGCATTTCAAAAATATTTTGCCTCCAAATACATTTTATGATGCTGTTCCATGTTCTTAAACGTACTGTCAATAAAAGTACTGTCAGAACAGGATAGCCACCCATGGAAGCATTTGCACAGCTCAGTTGGTAAGTGTATTAGCACTGACATGAAGCTGATGTGGCCCTTTTGGAGGGCACAGCACTACCTTTTCCACCATCTGTGCAGTTGTGTTTGCTGGAGAACCAAGCCTGGGTGTTGTTGAAGGTGCACTGATTCCCAGCATCATGGCTTAGCTCACGCTCTGGCTGTAACAGCACTCATTACCTCTGTGGCTGCTCTTCAGTGCTTATAAGGAACCTCTCAGAGCCAGGACAGTGAAGAGAGTTCACTAATGAATTTTACTTTCAAAATAGAGCAGTAAATTCTCCTTTGAAGAAAAACAAACAGGAAACAAGCTGTACAAATTTGGCAGAACATCTGTTTTGGTATCATTCTATTAAGTGTGCTGCCTTCCAGACAAAGCACTAAGGATCACAGTATCTTGTTTTTTCCATGGGTGATAATACCGTTCACACTGACATGGATTAGGATGTCTGTATTTGACCTTTCATTCCCTTTGATTAACCCCTTAGCACCTCACTAGTCCA